CACCGACGGTTTTGATCAAACTGCAGCCGCGAAAAAGAAATCAGCGTCTCACCGTGAACACGCGTCATATGCGCGTGCAGCAGAAGAAACTCGTGCGACAGTGATTTCATAGTCTCTCAGTAATGTTTAGTTACAACTCTGGACTAATACAAGATGAAAGAATGGATTGATCATTGATCATTATTATTTTGTGAATAATATATTTATTATTGCCTACAGGGCAAATATGGACGCATGTCTCTTAGTAAATATAAACCATCATGTATTCAGCCAAGCCACAGCAGAAATTATATTTTATATTTGAAAAATGTGTAAAAGGAAATCAGGGGAGAGCATTTTTTGAATGGGTCTGATGCAGTTAATCAAATGAGTAAATACATCTGCACCTATGCCAACAGGCTAATGTTACATTGTAAAGCCAAAGCTAATGTATAATTTTATGAAGAGTGAAACTATTTTCCAGGCAGCAGACCGGAACCTCAGGGTTACATTTCATTATTTCTACAATTTCCTTTTTTATGTTAATGTTAATATTCCTTATCATAAGATTGTAAAGAAAATATTCTTTAATTTTTCTTTTTTCTTACAGATTTTAAGTTCAAGCCTTGTACATTCTGTTCATCCACCTGGTGATAAATGACATGAACAGCTGGCCCTGACCACTCTTTTCCACGTCATCAGCTACACCCTGTATAACTATCAGCGTACCTTTCTGCCTGCATCCTGCTGATCATCACCATCCTCACCACCCTCAACACCCCACTAAACTGGCTGGAATGGCAGTCGAGTGCTACATCGCATCTGCATCCCCCTCCGTCACGGCCTGATCTGCACTGTCAAAAAAACCTACATCCTGATTGGTTTGATCTGGGTTGTCAGTGCACTCTCTATCCTACCAGCATCCTTCATCCTCCTGGCCACAGAGCCTCTGCACTTCTTTCACTCCAGCAGTGTTTTGTGCGAGAGATTACGTATTCAGAAGCATCTACAGTCGTGAAGAAGAGGGAAGCGTCACACATTGTTTTGTCTTGCTTTGGTTGGCTATCTTTTACACTTACTTTAGGATTCTGTTTGCAGCCAAGGGAGCAACTGCAGACTTTAAAAAAGCCAGAAAACACTATTCTCCTCCATGGTTTTTCAGTTGCTGTTGTGCATGCTTACTTATGTGAGACCCATGTTTGAACAAGGTTTTACTCTATTTATTGCCCAACACTTGTCCGTACGCTTTGCCTGTTACGTCATTGTCCAGATCCTGCCTCGGTTGTTAGCCCCATCGTTTACGGACTGCGAGACCAGACCTTCAGGAGATTGTGAGAAGGTAACCTGCTTTGTAAAGTGAGCAAAAAGCAGCCACCCAGAAGTGTCACCAGAGCCGAACATGACGTCTTCTATGAGACAGCAGTGATAGTTGCTCAGTGTCCAAACATCTGCAGACGCAAACTGCAAAACTCTGCAAAACATGTAACATCATCAATTTGGTGTTTTAAATAATTGTGGTTTTGTCTTTATTTTTTGTTTATGTAGCAGCAGCAACAATTGCATTTAAAATATAAAACCACTATGGACAAATACATTCCAATAAAACTACAGCTCAAAATTTTTCAGGTTTCATCTCAAAAAAAATTTTGTTAAAAAACTGAATTCCAATTAGGGTTGCAAAATGTATCTGTGGTCAATAAATGGGAAAATAATTTTATTGTTCAAAACTGGAATTTTAGCCAATAAATACAGTTTATTCAGAAATGTTCAGACTCCTTCAATGTTTTCACATTCTGTTATGTTGAAGCCTCATGCAAAAATAAAAAGGAATTATTAATTTTCCGCCCATCAATCTCACCTCAATAGCCCATAACTAGAAAGTGGAAGTTTTTTGCAAATTTATCAAAGAAGAAAACTGAAATATCAAATTGACAAAAGTATTCAGATGTGACACTTGAAATTTAGCTCAGGTTCCTCCCATTTCATTATCATCTCTGAGATTGTTCTATACCTTGAAGAGTCCACCTGTGGTCAATTCAGCTGATTGGAGATGATTTGGAAAGTACACACCTTTCTTATATAAAAGGTGTCACAGCTGACAATGCATATCAGAGGCAAAGACCAAGGTCTCCAATCAAGGTTATGAACATCTCAAAGATGATCATGAAGAGTGGGAGGCCCTGAGCTAATTTTTAAGTGTCACAGCAAAGTGGTCTGAATACTTATGTCATTGTGATATTTCAGTTTTTCCTTCTTAATAAATTTGCGCACATTCTATTTTTAGTTTGCCATTATTATTTGTCATTATCATTGAGTGGAGATTGATGAGGGGAAAATACATTTTTTAGATTTTGGCGTGAGGTTGCAACATAAAAAAATGTGAAACAATTGAAGGGGTCTGATACTTTCTGAGTGCACTGTACACATGATAATGCAGAGCCAGGGAACTTTTGTTGCATGTCTATCCCTCTCTCTCTCTGCCCTTATTTTATATTATATATTTATATTTTATTTAACAATGCACCCAACACTACTTGGTAAGATTGAACTTGACTGAAATACAAATAAAAAAATTCTTTTTTCTTCTTTTTTCTTTTAAATCATACAAAAGTCACATCACAGAAATAAAACAATGATCTGGTCTTACTGTGATCATAACCACCAACCTATTATCATCATCATCATGTTTTTCTTTCCTCTGGTAAACACCGAGGAGGACGATGGGAAGAAATCAATTAAGTCGTGTTTCAGTGTTTATAAATGCGAAACTGACAAGCTGTTTGCCTGAGTGTCCGACTGGCCTCAGGTAGGTGGAATAGTACAGGGATGGTGGTGAGGCAGATTAATTAAACCTCTTTAATATGCAACTCTTTGCTGAGAAATATTACACTGAGTTTGTTCACATGTTGGTATTACTGTGTCACCTGCGTCAATTGTTTATTTAACCGCAGCACTCTTTGCATTAAATAGATGCTCTGACATTTTGGAAGAATAAACAGGTAATGTAAATATTTTGCCTGATAATGACCCTATATTTAAGATGAAGCTCAGTTTTCTAATGTCAAGTTTTCTGCAGCAGTTTTCAGACTGTGTAACATTATGATTAATTTGATTATTGGAGATTCACTGCAAAAATACTGATTCAAATACTGCACAATAATGTTTTTGCAGCTGACTGGTCTTTGCAAAAGTTAGATTAGCTTTATAATGTAGCACAAGAAATAAATAATGCTATTATGTACACATTTGAAAACCTTTATGTACTTGCCTTTGTTAATGAAGTAATGAACACTAATACATGTTTTACATTATATGAGTGGATGTTCATGAGAGAAAAAAAAATCTTATCAGGTGAAAAAGGGAATCATGTATGAAATTTACAAACCACTGAGCAACGTTTTTAGGAAATGTTTGTATATGTATTTAACACTCAAAGGGTTTTACTTTAGTGTCGGTTTCCAAATTGCCTGAATAATAATAGTTAAATCAGATTTACAGCAGTGTGGCTGTAGAACTGGATTATTGTATATTTACTGGAAAATCCTTTATTTTCTCAAATATGTGATTTTCAAACAAAAAGAAACATGTGAAACTAAATATCAGCTTTGTTTGCTTTTGTGGTCAAACTAGCGTATGTCATCATAAAGGTGCAGATAAAAGTGAGTTTACCATACTTTGACTGTAAATAGATTTATCAGACTGATTATTTATAGCAGTTTTATGGTAATTTCTTTACATATTTGTCATTTGTTTTTCTTGTTTTGTATAACTCTTTTTTCAGGTCTAGTAAAATATGAGCTATCAGTGGGTCCAGGAGGCAATATGACTTTTCTTATCAGGTTTGTGAAGCAACTGTCTTCATATCAATGAAAAAGTAATAACGTTTGATTATGTGTATGATTTTATCTGTTGCATTGCTAACTGTGATGCCAAAATCTGTTTCTATGTCACTGTATTGAGAGATTTAATTCCTAAAGACTAAACAAGAAAATGCAGTTAAAGGTAAATTTGTGACCTTGATTTTTCTTGATTATGTCCAAATCTAAATGAATAAGTGATTTTATTTTTGATGAACAATGAAAACAAAACATATAATCTCTAAACTTTAATTTCTCTAAACACTGAATCAGTGTTAACTGCAGCCGTTCACAGGAATCACTGACCTCCAACATGACACATTATACCCACCTATTCAAATATCAGTCCTCACACAGAACTCATTGGTCCTGGCACAGATTACTGTCATGTATGTTCAATCTCTTGATTCACAAATCAATTTACTGCAAGTATATTTTCAAACAAAACACCTTCACAAATGAATAATTAATAAAGGTGTTTGCTTGGAAATATACGTTTTATGTTGCTGAAAATTAACTACAATATTTTCTTTCCCTGACTGTTGATCAGCTTCATGTTCATGAACAGTTGATCTGTTACTTAAGATCTCAGTACTTAAATTCTGGTGTTAGCTGGTAAAATATCCTGAATAATCATGAAAAGGCAAAAGAAATTGTTCTTTATTTTGATGTAATCTCAAAACTGACTGGTTTCTGTTTCTTATCTCTTGGCTCCCTCTGTTGCTGGATCAGCTCACATTCATCAGAGACACCTTCACCACAGCATTTGTGAAGAACTTGATGTGGCTCTGGTCTGGCTCACCCTCACTTACATCAATGGCACTTGGTTGCCACTTTTTTCAGACACCAGGTATATATAAATATATATAATATATATATATATATATACACATACACACACACACACACACACACACAACACACACACACACACACACACACACACACACACACACACACACTGCTAATAACTCTGACAGCGGGATTCTGTCTCCAAGACGATTTTCAATTTAATACTAACAGTTAGTAAATATTATGTATGCAACCTATCACATGTCCAAAAAGAGATAGTGTGTGTGTGTGTGTGTGTGTGTGTGTGTGTGTGTGTGTGTGTGTATGTGTATATATATATATATATATATATATATATATATTTATATATACCTGGTGTCTGAAAAAAGTGGCAACCAAGGTGCCATTGATGTAAGTGAGGGTGAGCCAGACCAGAGCCACTATCAGGTTCTTCACAAATGCTGTGGTGAAGGTGTCTCTGATGAATGTGAGCTGATCCAGCAACAGAGGGAGCCAGAGATAAAGAAACAGAAACCAGTCAGTTTTGAGATTACATCAAAATAAAGAACAATTTCTTTTGCCTTTTCATGATTATTCAGGATATTTTACCAGCTAACACCAGAATTTAAGTACTGAGATCTTAAGTAACAGATCAACTGTTCATGAACATGAGCTGATCACAGTCAGGGAAAGAAAATATTGTAGTTAATTTTCAGCAACATAAAACTGCAAGTATATTTCCAAGCAAACACCTTTATTAATTATTCATTTGTGAAGGTGTTTGTTTGAAAATATACTTGCAGTAAATTGATTTGTGAATCAAGAGATTGAACATACATGACAGTAATCTGTGCCAGGACACAATGAGTTCTGTGTGAGGACTGATATTTGAATAGGTGGGTATAATGTGGTCATGTTGGGAGGTCAGTGATTCCTGTGAACGGGCTGCAGTTAGACACTGATTCAGTGTTAGAGAAATAAAGTTTAGAGATTATATGTTTTGTTTTCATTGTTCATCAAAAATAAAATCACTTATTCATTTTAGATTTGGACATAATCAAGAAAAATCAAGGTCACAAATTTACCTTTAACTGCATTTTCTTGCTTTAGTCTTTAGGAATTAAATCTCTCAATACAGTGACATAGAAACAGATTTTGGCATCACAGTTAGCAATGCAACAGTATAAATCATAAACATAATCAACAGTTATACTTTTTCATTGATATGAAGACAGTTGCTTCACAAACCTGATAAGGAAAAGTCATATTGCCTCCTGGACCCACTGATGAGCTCATATTTTACTGAGACCTGAAAAAAGAGTATACAAAACAGAAGAAACAAATTGACAAATATGTAAAGAAATTACCATAAAACTGCATAAAATAATCAGTCTGATAAATCTATTTACAGTCAAAGTATTGGTAAACTCACTTTTATCTGCACCTTTATGATGCACATACGCTAGTTTGACCACAAAAGCAAACAACAGATATTTTAGTTTCACATGTTTCTTTTTGTTTGAAAATCACATATTTGAGAAAATAAATCATTTTCCAGTAAAATAACAATAATCCAGTTCTACAGCCACACTGCTGTAAATCTGATTTAACTATTATTATTCAGGCAATTTGGAAACCTGACACTAAAGTAAAACCCTTTGAGTGTTAAATACATATCAAAACATTTCCTAAAAACGTTGCTCAGGTGTTGTAAATTTCATACCATGATTCCCTTTTTCACCTTGATAGATTTTTTTTTCTCTCATGAACATCCACTCATATAATGTTAAAACATGTATTAGTGTTCATTACTTCATTAACAAAGGCAAGTACATAAAGGTTTTCAAATGTGTACATAATAGCATTATTTATTTCTTGTGCTACATTATAAAGCTAATCTAACTTTTGCAAAGACCAGTCAGCTGCAAAAACATTATTGTGCAGTATTTGAATCAGTATTTGTGCAGTGAATCCCAAATAATCAAATTAATCATAATGTTACACAGTCTGTAAAACCTGCTGCAGAAACTTGACATTAGAAACTGAGCTTCATCTTAAATATAGGGTCATTATCAGGCAAAATATTACATTACCTGTTTATTCTTCCAAATGTCAGAGCATCTATTAATGCAAAGAGTGCTGCGGTTAAATAAACAATTACGCATGTGGACACAGTAAGTACCAACATGTGAACAAACTCAGTGTAATATTTCTCAGCAAAGAGTTGCATATTAAAGAGTTTAATTAATCTGCCTCACCACCATCCCTGTACTATTCCACCTACCTGAGTCCAGGTCGGACACTCAGGGCAAACAGCTTGTCAGTTTCGCATTTATAAACACTGAAACACGACTTAATTGATTTTCTTCCCATCGTCCTCCTCGGTGTTTACCAGAGGAAAGAAAAACATGATGATGATGATAATAGTTGGTGGTGTTATGATCACAGTAAGACCAGATCATTGTTTTTATTCTGTGATGTGACTTTTGTATGATTTAAAAGAAAAAAAGAAGAAAAAAGAATTTTTTTTATTTGTTATTTCAGTCAAGTTCAATCTTACCAAGTAGTGTTGGGTGCATCGTAAAATAAAATATAAATATATAATATAAAATAAGGGCAGAGAGAGAGAGGGATAGGACATGCAACAAAAGTTCCCTGGCTCTGCATTATCATGTGTACAGTGCACTCAGAAAGTATTCAGACCCCTTCAATTGTTTCACATTTTTTTATGTTGCAACCTCACGCCAAAATCTAAAAAATGTATTTTCTCCCTCATCAATCTCCACTCAATGATAATGACAAATAATAATGGCAAACTAAAAATAGATTGCGCAAATTTATTAAGAAGGAAAAACTGAAATATCACAATGACATAAGTATTCAGACACTTTGCTGTGACACTTAAAATTTAGCTCAGGTGCCTCCCACTTCTCATGATCATCTTTGAGATGTTTCATAACCTTGATTGGAGACCTTGGTCTTTGCTCTGATATGCATTGTCAGCTGTGACACCTTTTATATAGAAAGGTGTGTACCTTTCCAAATCATCTCCAATCAGCTGAATTGACCACAGGTGGACTCATCAAGGTATAGAACATCTCAGAGATGATAATGAAATGGGAGGAACCTGAGCTAAATTTCAAGTGTCACATCTGAATACTTTTGTCAATTTGATATTTCAGTTTTTCCTTTTTGATAAATTTGCAAAAACTTCCACTTTCTAGTTATGGGCTATTGAGTGGAGATTGATGGGCGGAAAATTAATAATTCTTTTTATTTTTGCATGAGGCTTCAACATAACAGAATGTGAAAACATTGAAGGAGTCTGAACACTTTCTGAATAAACTGTATTTATTGGCTAAAATTCCAGTTTTGGAACAATAAAATTATTTTCCCATTTATTGACCACAGATACATTTTGCAACCCTAATTGGAATTCAGTTTTTTAACAAAATTTTTTTGAGATGAAACCTGAAAAATTGTAGTTGAGCTGTAGTTTTTATTGGAATGTATTTGTCATAGTGGTTTTATATTTTAAATGCTATTGTTGCTGCTGCTACATAAACAAAAAATAAAGACAAAACCACAATAATTTAAAACACAAATTATGATGTTACATGTTTTTGCAGAGTTTTGCAGTTTGCTCTGCAGATGTTTGGACACTGAGCAACTATCACTGCTGTCTCATAGAAGACGTCATGTTCGGCTTGGTGACATTTTCTGGGTGGCTGCTTGTGCTCACTTTACAAAGCAGGTACCTTCTCACATATCTCCTGAAGGTCTGGTCTCGCAGTCCGTAAACGATGGGGCTAACGAACCGAGGCAGGATCTGGACAATGACGTAACAGGCAAAGCGTACGGACAAGTGTTGTTTGGGCAATAAGTAGAGTAGACCTTGTTCAAACATGGGTCTCACATAAGTAAGCATGCACAACAGCAACTGAAAACCATGGAGGAGAATAGTGTTTCTGGCTTTTTTAAAGTCTGCAGTTGCTCCCTTGGCTGCAAACAGAATCCTAAAGTAAGTGTAAAAGAGTATGAGCCAAACCAAAACAAGACAAACAATGTGTGACGCTTCCCTCTTCTTCAGGCTGTAGATGCTTCTGAACACAGTATATCTGGTACATAACACTCTGGAGTGAAAGAAGTGCAGAGGCTCTGTGGCCAGGAGGATGAAGAGGTCTGGTAGGATAGAGAGTGCACTGACAACCCAGATCAAACCAATCAGGATGTAGGTTTTTTTGACAGTGCAGATCAGGCCGTGACGGAGGGGGATGCAGATGGCGATGTAGCACTCGACTGCCATTCCAGCCAGGTTTAGTGGGGTGTTGAGGGTGGTGAGGATGGTGATGATCAGCAGGATGAGGCAGAAAGGTACGCTGATAGTATACAGGGTGTAGCTGATGACGTGGAGAAGAGTGGTCAGGGCCAGCTGTGTCATGTCATTTATCACCAGGTGGATGAACAGAATGTAACGAGGGCTCAAACTTAAAATCTGTAAGAAAAAAGAAAATTAAAGAATATTTTCTTTACAATCTTATGATAAGGGAATATTAACATTAACATAAAAAGGAAATTGTAGAAAATAATGAAATGTAACCCTGAGGTTCCGGTCTGCTGCCTGGAAAATAGTTCACTCTTCATAAAATTATACAGTTAGCTTTGGCTTTACAATGTAAACATTAGCCTGTTGGCATAGCTGCAGATGTATTACTCATTTGATTAACTGCATCAGACCCATTCAAACTGGCTCCCCCTGATTTCCTTTTACACATTTTCAAATATAAAATATAATTTCTGCTGTGGCTTGGCTGAATACATGATGGTTATTATTTACTAAGAGACATGCGTCCATATTGCCCTGTAGGCAATAATAAATATATTATTCACAAAATAATAAATGATCAATGTCAATCCATTGCTTTTCATCTTGTATTAGTCCAGAGTTGTAACTAAACATTGACTGAGAGACTATGAAATCACTGTCGCACGAGTTTCTTCTGCTGCACGCGCATATGGACGCGTGTTCACGGTGAGACGCTGATTTCTTTTCGCGGCTGCAGTTTGATCAAAACCGTCGGTGTTTGTTAAAAGTAATGAGTAGTTGTATTTCAGGTTTGTGAGACACAAAGTCACAGAACAGACCTGGAAGTGGCAGGTAAGAGAAAAACAGAGACGCACTGCGCAGACAGACAGGTGCAACGTAAGCTAGCATCTAACGTTAGCCTGCTGTTATTTACTGTTAGGTTCATCTGACTGCTGTTCCTGCCTTTCAATCACATAGTGTGTCTTTTCTCTTTTCGTGACCGGACGTATAGTCCCGCTTTTTCCTCTCATCAAAGTTAAAAACATTGACACGAGGAGGAGGCGGGCTCCTTGCGTAATTTGCGGAGCCCTACGGACGTGCGTAGTGAGGGTGTAGGGCCGCCCGGCGCTGTAAGTCATGCTTGCATTAATGAGCTGGTTCATTGATGAACAGATTCTCACTTCTCATCTCTATAAACATCAAATTAAAAAACGTCCCTTCCGTTCAGAGGTGGAGGTTTCCTGTACATAATGGCACATTTTGAAACATGATAATATGTAGATGTTATCAATAATCTATATATTAATAATCATAGATTTAAAGTTTTTTACTGAAAATGATTGAAGGATTCATAAAAACAAAACATTAACCTAATTAGAATAGAAGCAGGGAGCCATATCATGAATATTATCCTATGGTGCCAATACATGTGGTTTTGTCTTGGACAGGCAGTTTTTAAAACTTGCCTATGCAGTACTCCTTTATTATATAATATATGATGATATTTAAATGGGGCACAGTGCATTATTTACTCATGTTCAATTTATCTAATCTCAATCTCTAATTTGTTTTGATTTTGATACGATATTTTACATCTGAATTTCTCCTAATTCTTATTTTGTACATGCACATGCTGTATATAAAAACAATGCTGGACCTCAGACCTGGTGCTTTCTGAAGGTGTGGACCAGAGTACCATTGACGTAGTTAATGGAGATGCAGAGGGCTGTGACAATCACATTCTTGGTAACAGCTGCAGTGAAGGTGTCCCGCTGTCTCCCAGCTGCAGTAAAAGTGCCATTGACAGATGACAAATTCATGTCTGAAATGGCAGAATCCTCCCTGTCTGAAAGAAGCACACATATATCTGTCTACACCAATATCTGTCAACAATGAATCTAAAGCCCAGAAGAAGTGCATGATAGATAAATGCATATGACACAGAGCAAGACAATATAATGATATACACAGTGACACAGTCATGCAGTATCAGTTCAATGCAATAATAGCAGTCAGCATGAAAAGAATGCTCATACCCAGTAGGTGGTCACATAACACTAATCTGTTGTGGATGTTGATGCAAGGAGTTTATATAGGTTGATAGATGTCATTTGAGATTATTGGTTGTGTAGTTGTGTTCATGTTGGCATGTGTGTATCTTAAAGGAACAGTTTTATGTTTTGGGAAATATGCTCATTTGCTTTCTTTCCAAGAATGAGATGAATATTGATATTGAATATATATCAGTTTAAATTTTGCAATCAATATTTTTATAATGACAATGTATCAACTGATAATGTGAAAACAGTGTGAAAAGTGTCTCTGGTAATGATGAACCTACAGAAAATTATCAGATGAATATTTTGCGTTACAGCTTTATAGTGAGTTTCATCTCATTGTTTTCATTTTCTGTTCCACAACTTTACTGATCTGGTTCACTCTCATAGTGTCATTTTCAGCCACAGCATGCAGATGTTTTTAAAGAAAACATCTGTAAAAAACCACTGGCCACAGTTAGAGACCAGCTGATGAACATAGTGGAGCATTTAGCAGCTAAACAGCCAGATATTTGATTTGATTTGTGAGCAGTCATTATGTTAAGCTTGGCCAACCAAATCCTGACAACAGGGCTATACTTAATCCACGTACTTAAGATTTGTGTTGATCTTTTCATTTCAGTGACAGTTCAACATTTTTTTTATTCAGTTTCTTTCTAACTACTTTCAACCTGTGCTGTAACTCAGGGTGGATACTGAAAACTGGTGCTAAAGCTGCATTCATCCTTTTGTAGGCACTTGAGGACAGCAGACCAGGAGCAACATCAGCGTTCACCTGGAGCCACGTAACCTGATGAATGTAAGTCCAACGCTCCCCCTTCTTCTAATCTGACTTTTGTGTACTGATGAGTGGTGGGCTGGTACAAACAATGTGGTCTGTCTCAGTTCCTCGACACAAAGCAAATAAAGCACAATAGGGGCCCATGATACACGCCAATTTAGTTCAGAGAAGAAGTAATGCGAGGGGATTCAAGCTGTTTACACATGAGGGAACATCAACAGTAGATTCCTAGGCCTGGCCATTTCCACAAAACCTCATTTAAAGTCATTTTTTCTTAGTTTTGGAAATGGATCATGATTTCAACAGAAAGACTCACTTATTTCCTAAAGTTAAATTATTTTCTTTTTAGGGGTTTGATGGTTTGAAGCAATAAATCATATGGTGAATTTTCTTTTGTTACTATGCTAATAGTAATAAAACTGCAGATTTGTACATACTGTAGGGCTCACAGTATTTAATGATAACTGAGAAAAATGAATGCTGGAAAAAATGATGAATTGATTAATTTAGTGAAAGGAAACATTTACAAATTGGCTTGATATGACTCACCTTGAACTATAACTGTGGCAAGGAAGTAACAGACACGTCCAGAGACCTTGCAGTAAAACAGTAATGTGAGGAATGAAAGAATAGATTTTTGCAAAACGATGAAGGAAGTTACATTATCTGTATGATTTGTTATGATCAGTAACTTTGCGAGACCGACTTAGGAAACCAGAGATAGAAAAAAAAAATTACCTGGTTGACTGTTGAAAGCATTATTGATTCTAGTGGAATTTCATGCGCGTTCAAAATAATGCAGTCGAATACAACAGCACTAACTGAAGCTTTAAAAAGTTCAGACACAAATGATTATAAGCTTTGAGAATATATTCTTTATTTCAGGCTACAGTATGAGATTGTTTTGATTTACAGGTATTCCTTTTATTATGTCCACCTTGTTGTACATTTCACTCTTTTCAAATTAATAAACTTGGCTGAGCCATTTTAACATTGTATGTGACGTAGAGTATTGAGATTTTTATATACAAAAAAAAAAAAAAAACGGTGTCAGTGTGGAAAATTACCAGCTCTGCTGTAATCAGAGCAGGAGAAAATGGGTCTGCTGAGGCCAGATGGAGTATCTGTTTGAATCTTGGATCATAAATGTAAATGTAAATCATATTACAGAGTTTTTCCTTGCCAAAAATTAGGTGGGGGAGGTACTAAGCCATACGACTGGGGGGGGGGGGGGGCCCTTCCCCCGCCCCC